GGTTTCTGACAGTTTGTGCAGAAATTGTTTGGTTGTGCAAACCAATTGTTCCAGCAGCTGTCTGGGTGGCTGGTCTCAGACGATCTTGGAGGTGAACCTGCTGGATGTGGAGGTCCTGGGCTGGTGTGGTTACACGAGGTCTGCGGTTGTGAGGCCGGTTGGATGTGCTGCCATATTCTCTGAAACGCCTGTGGAGACGGCTTATGGTTGAGAAATGAACATTCAATGCACGGGCGACAGATCTGGTTGACATTCCTGCTGTCAGCATGCCAATTGCATGCTCCCTCATTGCTTGTGGCATCTGTGGCATTTTGCTGTGAGACAAAACTGCACATTCCAGGGTGGCCTTTTGTTGTGGGCAGTCTGAGGTACACCTGTGCACTACTCATGATGTCAGATCAGCATCCTGATGTGGCACACCTGTGAGGTGGGATGGATTATCTCAATATAGCAGATGTGCCCACTACCACACATTTGGACTGATTTGTGACCACTGTTTGGGAGGGATGGTTATATTGTGTATCTGGAATGAATTTTAGGTCTCTAAGTCCATCCCATGGGGAATGGGAGCAGTAACAAAAGTGTTGCGTTTATATTTTTGTTGAGTGTATATAAAAAAACACCCAGCACGCCCCTGCGGGCGGTTTATCCTTCAAGCTCGGGTCCTCTACCAGAGGCCTGGGAGCTTGAGGGTCCTGCGCAGTATCTTAGCTGTTCCCAGGACTGCGCTCTTCTGAACAGAGATCTCCGATGTTATTCCCGGGATCTGCTGGAGCCACTCGCCTAGCTTGGGAGTCACCGCACCTAGTGCTCCGATTACCACGGGGACCACCGTTACCTTCACCCTCCACATCCTCTCGAGCTCTTCTCTGAGCCCTTGGTATTTCTCCAGCTTCTCGTGTTCCTTCTTCCTGATATTGCTGTCATTCGGAACCGCTACATCGATCACTACGGCCGTCTTCTTCTGTTTGTCTACCACCACTATGTCCGGTTGGTTAGCCACGACCATTTTGTCCGTCTGTATCTGGAAGTCCCACAGGATCTTAGCTCGGTCATTCTCCACCACCCTTGGGGGCATCTCCCATTTTGACCTCGGGACTTCCAGGTTATACTCAGCACAGATGTTCCTGTACACTATGCCGGCCACTTGGTTATGGCGTTCCATGTATGCCTTGCCTGCTAGCATCTTGCACCCTGCTGTTATGTGCTGGATTGTCTCTGGGGCATCTTTACACAGCCTGCACCTGGGGTCTTGCCTGGTGTGATAGACGCCAGCCTCTATGGATCTTGTACTCAGAGCTTGTTCTTGTGCTGCCATGATTAGTGCCTCTGTGCTGTCTTTCAGTCCAGCTTTGTCCAGCCACTGGTAGGATTTCTGGATATCAGCCACCTCCTCTATCTGCCGGTGGTACATACCGTGCAGGGGCCTGTCCTTCCATGATGGTTCCTTGTCTCCCTCCTCTTTCTTGGGTTTCTGCTGCCTGAGGTATTCACTGAGCACTCGGTCAGTTGGGGCCATCTTCCCAATGTATTCTTGGATGTTCGTTGTCTCATCCTGGACTGTGGTGCTGACACTCACCAGTCCCCGGCCCCCTTCCTTCCGCTTAGCGTACAGCCTCAGGGTGCTGGACTTGGGGTGAAACCCTCCATGCATGGTAAGGAGCTTTCTTGTCTTTATGTCAGTGGCTTCTATCTCCTCCTTTGGCCAGCCTATTACCCCAGCAGGGTTCCTGATCACGGGCAGGGCGTACGTGTTGATGGCCCGGATCTTGTTCTTACCATTCAGCTGACTCCTCAGGACTTGCCTGACCCTCTGCAGGTACTTGGTGGTTGCAGCCTTTCTAGCGGCCTCTTCATGGTTCCCATTTGCCTGCGGGATCCCCAGGTACTTGTAACTGTCCTCTATGTCTGCAATGTTGCCTTCTGGTAGTTCAATCCCCTCAGTTCTGACTACCTTCCCTCTCTTTGTTACCATCCGACTACACTTCTCCAGTCCGAACGACATTCCAATGTCATTGCTGTATAGCCTGGTAGTGTGGATCAGTGAATCGATGTCTCGTTCCCTCTTGGCATACAGCTTGATGTCATCCATGTACAGGAGGTGGCTGACAACTGCTCCGTTCCGTAGTCGGTATCCGTAGCCAGTCTTGTTAATGATCTCACTGAGGGGGTTCAGGCCTATGCAGAACAGCAGTGGGGACAGAGCATCTCCTTGGTAGATCCCGCACTTGATGGTGACTTGTGCTATGGGCTTGGAGTTGGCCTCTAGTGTTGTACGCCACATCCCCATTGAGTTCCTGATGAAGGCTCTTAGGGTCCTGTTGATCTTGTACAATTCTAGGCATTCCAGTATCCAGCTGTGGGGCATTGAGTCATAGGCCTTCTTGTAATCAATCCAGGCAGTGCACAGGTTGGTCAGTCTGGTCTTGCAGTCTCGGCTGACTGTTCTGTCTACCAGTAGCTGGTGTTTTGCGCCTCTGGTATTCATGGGGGTATTCATATATATATATATATATATATATATATATATATATATATATATATATATATGTATATATGTATATGTGTATATGTGTATATGTGTATATGTGTATATGTGTATATATGTATATGTATATGTGTATATATGTATGTGTATATGTATGTATGTGTATATGTGTATATGTGTATATATATATATATATATGTATATATATATATGTATATATATATATATATAAATATGTATATATACATATTTGACATACTTATTCAGTAATGCGCATACATTCTTATATTTGTACATATATTTATTCTTATAATTCTCAGATTCCTATTCTTATATTTTGCTTTGTTCTTATGCTATTGTGTTTTGCACACCTCTGTTGCTTGTGAAGCTTGCACACAAGAATTATACTCGCATGTGCTGTACCAGTGTACGAGCACATGTGATGTGACAATAAAAGTGATTTGAATAAATTTAAAATTCTTCTTGTCATATGCAACGTCTTGAAAAATTCAATTCAATTTCATATCAGTTTTATTTATATAGTTCTAAATCACATCAACATTTGCCTCAAGGCCCCATCTCATCTTTAAGACGTCATAGTACCATATCATGAAATTTTGATTTTAATTGTGGTTTCTAAGGTGTTTAAAAATAGAATAGTAGGCAGTCTTCAGCTTTCAGGCCCCTCTTCTGTAGAGTAAATGGTAAATGGTCTGTATTTGTATAGCGCTTTACTTGGTCCTAAGGACCCCAAAGCGCTTTACACTATACACAATCATCCACCCTTTCATACACTGGTGATGGCAAGTTACAGTGTAGCCACAGCCGCCCTGGGGCGCTCTGGACACTGGCGCCACCCTCTGGTAAATGGACTGGTTCTTATATAACGCTTTTCTACTCATCTGAGCACTCAAAGCGCTTTACACAACGTGTGCATTCACCCATTCACAAGCACATTTTTCTAATAGCTAACATTCACACACATTCATACTCCGATGGATGCATCGGAGAGCAATTTGGGGTTAGTATCTTGCCCAAGGATATTTGGCATGCAGACTAATCGAACCACCAACCTTCCGATCAGTAGATGACCTGCTCTACCACCTGAGCTACAGCCACCCCACCACCAGTAGGCAACGGGTGAAGTGTCTTGCCCAAGGACACAACAACCGAGACTCCCGGAGCCGGGCTCGAACCGACAACCTTCCGATTTCAAGACGAACACCTAACTCTTGAGCCACGATCGCCCCACTAGAGCTAGTCCCCAGTTTTGATTTGGGAGACAGACGATCTCTCTATCTTTAAGATTAAGCTTATGATGATGATGTACTGGCTGCATCTTTTTCACCTGTTTTTACTCTGTGTGTTTTCACACTTTGCATCAAATTTTGCATACACTTTTTGTCCTGTCTCTCTTGGCTGACCTTCCCTGAGCCTAGTTCTGCTGGAGGTTTCTTCCAGTTAATAGGGAGATTTTGCTTTCCAAGTGCTTGGTCATAGTGGGTTGTCTGATTGTTTGAGTATTCTCTCTATTTTTGTAGGGGTCTTTACCTTAAAATATAAAGAGCTGTTATGATTTAGTGCTATATAAATGACATTGAAGTAGCTAGTATTCAGCAGTCATTTTGCCTGTAGTCACTTAAAGTTGTCAAATGGCATTCACTTTTTATGGTCTCTGGTGACCACGTGACTTCCAGTGTGGTTGAAGCTTTTAAGATATGTCATGTTACTTTGCCAGGACAGTGGCTCTTTGTTTCTTCGATTAGACGCTCACCAACTTTCTTGGAATGTGTCCTGACTGCAGCACTGCATTTACAAGCATGGCACTGATATTCATCTTGTCATCAAGCACTGAATGTTCTCTGACTCTTGCAGTGAAAAAAAAATTATCCAGTGGTCTGTTAGAAGTCATACCTTCATGTATAAGCCCATGTCTCAGTATATAAGAATCAAAACTGTTCAGTTTCTTTTTTTATATATTAAAGGGTTAATATTGATTATTAAATTATGGAGTTTAAAGTTTTTTAAAAACTGTATAATCATAATAAGTTTGAGGGTAATATGCAGGGGGCTAGTTGCCAGATTTCCCTGGTTGTTAAGTTTCATCTCCTCCTGCTCCACAATCCCCTTCAGGCACTCTGATTTGCAGACAACTCTGAGTCTAATGTATGAGCATTCACCCTGTTATCACAGATGCCCACCCAGTACAACACCACATAGTTTATGGTCTACGCTGATCTGTACTTCTTGACCATCATGCATCGAGCTTAATAAACTTTCATAAAAATATTTCAATGTTTTCTTCATATCCAGAAAGGCTATTGTTGCATCTCTCTGTCACCCAGCTGATCTAAACACACCTCATTCACATCCTACCACAATCAAACCCTGTTACAACATACGGTCTAATTTCAGATATGGCTTTTGTTAGTAATATTGACAAAGATTACATTAACTGCATATTGTTTGTGGATACATTTTTGTGTGGTCTAAACATATTTGCTGTTCATAGGGGAACCAAAGGCAAGGACATCAGCACTATCAAGTCATTGAGGGTTCTTCGAGTTCTCAGGCCTCTGAAGACCATCAAGCGCCTGCCAAAACTCAAGGTTTCACTTCATCACTTAAATCACTTTAAGCATATTTGCACTGCACAAGACACTAAATAATGTGGATTGCACAACACTGGTCACTATATTCTTCATTTCCAGTTAATACTTGTACAGCTGCTGTTATTGTATATATATATTTATATCTCTTCATACATTCTTATATAGTTCTATACTGTGTATTGTGTATTTTGTTGTACAGTTATTTTATTTTCAACTTTAATTTATATATTTTATCTTATTTTTTCCCAGTTAAATTTACCCTTCATTCTAATTTGTGTTGTACCGTTATTTCATTTTTAACCTTAATTTTTTATATTTTATTTTATTCCTTCCTAGTTAAATTTACCCTTTTTAATTTTTCATATTTATTTCCTATCTTATTCATAGCCTTTTCTTTTTTTTTTCTTTAGGTCACGAGCAGTTGTCTAAGCATTTCACTGCATATCGTACTGTGTATGACTGTGTACGTGACAAATAAAATTTGAATTTGAGGTTCAATTCTAGGACTTGAGTACACCCCCTTTAAAAAGTACAAATTTAATCAGTAGCTCAATGAACAAAAAAACACTTTCCCAAATTTTCACAAAGCTGAGTTTTAGTCAACACTCCATAACATGAAAATAAGGTTAATAATATAACTTAGATCACAAAATCTTCAGTTTTACTCAAATTGGTTGAAGCAAAAATGAATACACCCTGCAACAAAAACTACTACATCTGGTATTTTGTATTGCCACTGTGATTTTCAGGGACAGCACAAGTCTTCTAGGCATGGTATGAACAAGTTGGCAACATATTGCAACATCTATCTTTTTCCATTCTTCGAGAATAACCTCTTTTAGAGCCTGGATGCTGCACGGAGAGTGATGCTCAACTTGTTGCTTCAGAATACCCCACAGGTGTTCGATTGGGTTCAGATTAGGAGACATACTTGACCAGTCTATCACCTTCACCCTGTTCTTCTTCAGAAATGCAACAGTAGCTTTAGATGTGTGTTTTGGATCATTGTCGTGTTGGAAAAGTGCACAACAACCAAGTGCACGCAGTGATGGCAGCATCTTCTCCTTCATTATAAAGCAGTACACAACATTAAGTTCATGATACCATCAATGAAATGCAGCTCCCCAACACCAGTAGCACTCATGCAGCCCCACATAAGGACACTGCCACCTGTCGGTCACGAACGAAATGGCTCTTAGAGCCGGATCTTTGATGTGAACGAGCCGGATCTTTGATGTGAACAACGCGAGCCGGCTCCTTATCGTGAACTGTGGGGGTTTTTTTCTTTCTCTTTTTTCCGCTTCACTCCGCATGCGAGCCTTGTGCTTTACGCTGGGATGAGGGGGGAGGGGCGGTAGTTACACTCAGTAGCACAGGAACAGACCGGGAGGGAGAGAAAGAGAAAGAGCCAGGGACAACAACGTCACATTAGAAAGGTATAGTAATCATCCACAACTATTTTCAGTTGCAGATGATAAAGGATTCAGAAAGTTTATTCATGCAGGTCCATATGACAGAGAATATGCATGTTCTTTTTGTTTTCATATTTTAATTTATATTTAATTGTGTTGTGGTTTGCAGTGTTTTGTGTTGTTTCACTTTAAATTTGTAAAAGGAAAAAGCTGAAAATTTAAATTGTTAAAAGTTGAAATGTGAATAGTTGATTTTTGTATTATATGATTTATTTATTACATTTTCTGTGGAGTGAATAAATAAAAGTATATTTACGGTGGCCCCTACAGGCAAAGCATGTACAAACTTCAAAACAGGTATGAACTCTAAAGCACATACAAAAGACAACAGAAGTGCTCCAGGATGCTAGGTGCAATGTTGAGCTTTTGTTACCTAGTGGCTACACAAGCCAGGAAGTACCAACGACCGGATTTGGTGTGTGGTAATAACAGGTAAATGAACATTTTTTTAAATTATTTGAATATATATGAGTGCTTGTGTATAAATACACAAACAATACACACATGCTTTCAATTGTGTAATTTAAGTGATCTAGGTAGCTCTGTTTTGGAAGTTCAGTTCATGCTAGAAATGTGTTTTGGAGTTTGTACATGTTTCATCTCTAGGGGCCACCGCATATATTTATATATAAAAATATATAAATAAAACCACTTTTTTATTTTACATTAGTAATTCCTTTTGTGCATAATTTTATATTATTGTTAATAATTAATTAATTAAAGCAACAAAACAACCTGAAGAGCCGGTTCGGAGCCGAAAGAGCCAGCTCTTTTTAGTGAGCCGAACCGAAAGAGCCGGTTCTCTAAAAAGAGCCGGAAATCCCATCACTACTGCCACCACCATGTTTCACTATAGGCACCATGCATTTCTTTTTGAAATCCTCACCTTTACCACGCCATACAGTTTTGAAACCATTAGTTCCAAAAACAGTGATCTTTGTCTCATCACTCCAGATTATAGAGTCCTAGTAGTCTTCATCTTTTTCAGCATGGGCCATAGCAAATTCTAGGCGTGCTTTTTTGTGCATGGACTTTAGGAGAGGCTTTCTTCATGGACGATACCCATGCATGCCATTCCTCTAAAGTGTGCGCATCAGAAGACGCTCCTGTCAAGATGTTAACTTACGTGGAGAGCCTGGACGTCTCTGTACAATGGTTGCAATTCCATCTTTTTTAAATTTTTGGATCACTTTTGCTACAGTGCTTTGACTGATATGTAAAGCTTTTCTGATCTTATTGTAGCCCTCACCTTTTTTGTGTAAAGAAATTATTTCCTTTCTCAGATTTTGTGACATTTCTCTTCCATGTGGAGCCATTGCTGACAGCATGAAATGGGAAGTGTCACGGTCCTGGGTCTCCTGACCCAGCGTTTTTAGTTCTTTGTGATTTTTGTATTATTGTACTTGTGTGTGATTTATTCTATGGCTTCTAGTTTTGATCCCTTGCCCTTCATGTCTCTCTGTGTCCCCTCTGTTCTGTGTAATTGTGTGTCTTTGCATGTTTGAGTTTTCTTGTTTTCTGTCACTCTGCATTATGTTCTCATGGTTGGTCTTCTTAGACCTCTGCCTTATGGTTTATGTCTCTGTGTTTCTTAGTTGCTGTCTCCACTGTGTCAAGTTCGCGTCTCTGTGTGATACTTCCTGTTTTACTTTGATGGTCCGTGTCTTATGTGAATGCATCCTGCTTTGCTTGTCTCGTCAGTCCTGATTTCTCCCAACTGTGCCCTCCTTCTGTGTCTCATTCCCCTCGTTACTTCCCAGTGTATTTAAACCCTGTGTTTCTCTGAGTCAGTGTCGAGTTGTCCCTCATGACTGTGTGTTTCTACTTGTAGCTCCCTGTGTGTTTTGATAGAGTCTTCTCAGTTTAGATTTTGTAGAGTTTTTGTGTTCAGCAATACAAGCTGCCATTTTGAGTTCAGTCCTGTCTCCAGTGAGTTTGCGTTTGGGTCCAATTCCTGCCAGGAAGGGCTTTTCTTTGTTAATTAATGTCCTTTTATAGTCACCTGTCTGCTGGACATCTCTTAAATGAATCATTAGACTCACCTGTGCTTGAATGCCTGTTAATTCGAATTTTGAAGTCTTAAGCGTGGCTTTTCTCCTAATTGGGGTGTACTCATTTTTGCGACATGGGCTTGAATGAATTTGTTAGGAAAATCACTTTTTTGTGTGCACAAATAAACAAATCTTGTTTGCAATCAATGGCCCACATTTGTGGGAATATTTTGTAGTAGTATCTCATAGAAAGGAAACTAAAGGTTTTCTGACAAACGTAGTGGGGTGTACTCATTTATGCTGAGCACTGTAGCAGTTAATTAGTAGTCATTTTGTAGATAGCTCTAGTTAAGAAAGCAGCATAGTAACAAAACGACCAGCATTAAATCATATTTACAAATTTTGTGTAATCTTCTTCATTTAAAATTTAAAATCTGTTTGTGTCCTCAGGCGGTGTTTGACTGTGTGGTTAACTCTCTGAAGAATGTGCTGAACATCCTCATTGTTTACATCCTCTTCATGTTTATCTTTGCCGTCATCGCAGTTCAGCTCTTCAAGGGGAAATTCTTTTATTGCACTGATGAGTCCAAAGGCCTGGAGAAAGACTGCAAGTTGGTCTAAAAAAAATCCCCACAGCCTCACTTCATATTTCAGAGCTTAAGTAACTAAACTTTCAAATGCTACTTATTGTGTGCCTGTCTCCACTTGCTTTATTTCTTACAGAGGACAATTCCTAGATTATGACAAAGACGAGGTGGCCGCCATGCCCAGAGAGTGGAAAAAGTATGAGTTCCATTATGACAATGTGCTGTGGGCTTTTTTGACCCTCTTCACTGTCTCGACCGGGGAGGGCTGGCCAACGTAAGTACAGCTAGTCTGATTATTAAAATGTATTCAATGAAAAACAGGGCTTGTCCAGGAATGTAGTTCCTTGTTCATAAATGTAGCCTTACATGATTCCAATGAGAAAACTAACTATTTAAAAATGCAAATAAAACTGAAAATAAAAACTTACCAAGACAGAAGTTCATCCAAATATTCAGAAGGCTCTGGTATGATGTTCAAGCCAACAAGCAGAAAACCCAATACATTAATCAGAAAAGATCACAGCATCATAAAGTTCAATTTTATTTATACAGGACCAAATGACACTAACAAACCCTTCAAGGTTTATATTGTAAGGTAAAGATTATGGAAGCTCTTTTCCACCACACAAAAAAAGTATCCATAACTTGAAATTTTGAGTTATTTACTCGAAATTTCGACTTATTAACTCAAAATTTTGAGAAAAGTAATTAAAAAATTTGAGTTGGCTCTGCCAATTAGCAATCTACATGAACGACATTTTGTTGTTACCTGGAAGGATATGGCACAGAGGAATGCCTACTCAAAACCGGATTGCAACAAATTGGCACTTTCTAGAGTATGTTTGCCGATAGTAATGCCATGGGATTCGGCTAATAACACAAGGATTTCATTGTTACGTCCCAGGGGGTCCTTTTGTCCCTCTGTGGGGGGGATACTCCCACTAGGTTTATATCTGGGACTCTTCACCATTTGACCTTAGAACTGAAGAAGCTTCTCGGATGAGAGGTGAAACGTCTTCAAGCAACTTAAAGAAGTCCAGACGCTTTTCTTTGCAAGCTCCTTTGACTACGATGACCTGGATGACTGAGAACCTTCACAGACACATTGTTACGTCCCAGTCTAGGGGTACAGGAACGTAACATAAGAGTTAAAAAAGGAAGTGAACCCGCCCTGGGCCCCAAAACCATACACAGAAAACACAATTTCTTAGTGAACGGTGCTTTATTTTTCTACACTGAAAATGAAGCTCCGGGGTGAACAAAGGCCAAAATAACAAACAAAACAAGCTAAGTCAGGTGAGGAGGTGCTATCTAAAACCCTATGTGAAACAAAAACCAAACAAAAGACAAACGCTACACCTAACTCCCTAACTGAAATAAACAGGAGAAAATAGTACAAGGAAAATAATAAGGCAGCTCACCCCTTCTGTTTCAGTGCTATTTACAATGTGCTATTTACAAGTGAAAACTATTGTACATACTATGTACAAAGCTCAGTAAGTCACGAGAGTCACAAATATCACAAAGTTTGGAGGCCAGGGTCAGGTCTATGCTGCTGTCAGTTGCTGCCCCGAACAACTGCTGGTGAGGGATTTTTAAAGCAACCATGATCAGGGGACCAATCAGCAGCCGTCAGCTTATCCAATCAGGGACCTGCAGGGACTTAAAGACACAGACAGAACAAGAAACAGCCACCAAGAGACATTATGACCAGGGCCGTAATTCAAATTTTTGAGAAAAGTAGTTAAAAAATTCGAGTTAGCTCTGCCAATTAGCAATCTACATGAACGATGTCATTTTGTTGTTACCTGGAAGGATATGGCACAGAGGAATGCCCACTCAAAACCGGATCGCAACAAATTGGTGCTTTCGAGAGTATGTTTGCCGATAGTAATGCCATGTGATTCGGCTAATAACACAAGGATTTCAGCATTTCTGAAGCCACACTGAAAATACTCAGCAATTTGTGCATTAGTATTACAGTACTAAGCTACTGTAATACTAATACAGTAGCTTAGTATTACAGTAGCTAAGCTACTGTAATACTGGTAGCTTAGCCATGTCATTTGTAGCTGAGGGCTTCAGCTTCCGGGTAACAAGGAAATGACATCATTCACGTAGATTACCACGTAGATTACCGATTGGCAGCACTAACTCAAAATTCCGTGTTACTTATCTCAAAATTTCGAGAAAATAACTTGAAATTTCAGAACTAACTGGCACTAAATGGAAGGAGCATATAACCCCAGCCTCTTTACACTGGGTCACTGTTCCTTACAGGATCCAATTTAAACTCTTACTTTTTTGTTTTTAAGGCACTTACCAGCCAAGCCCCTTCTTACCTGTCTGAGCTCCTAATTATTTTTGCTCTAGAGAAAACCATGAGGTCCAGTTCAAAACTCATGTTGTCAATTCCACGGACTACTTCATTCTTGTGGCGACAGAGCCTTCTCTGTGGCAGGTCACAGACTTGTGTTGTGCATGGTGAACCAATACAGGAATTGAGCCATATATTCGGTGTGGGGGAGATTACCCTCTTTATGACCAAGGATGTTGTTAAAAACAGTTGTGAGCAGGAGGTCACACAAACGCACCCCCATGACACACACACACACGTGCACACACACACACACACACATAGTGCCTTGTCTTTTGTAACCAAGGGGGGTAACCAATGCAACACAAGCACCTCGCACCTTTACGGTGGGAGGTGGTTATTTGTTTTTGTTTTTTTGTTTTTTGCCTGTCCCATTTGGTTCTTTAGCCGTCAGAATTGTTGTCTGAAGACCAACAAGGATACCCAATGGATTTATTTTGCCAAATGGATGATCAGGGCATTGCCGTATTGGTCCATTTGATCGACCTTTGTTTTTATTATTTATTTTATTTTATTTTCAATTGTTACAGACGGGACAGACATGAGTGAGGGATAGGAAAGGGAGAAAGAAAGAGGAAGGAAAAGAAAAACAGAAGGGGAGAGGGACAGTGAGAAAGGGGAAAAAAATAAAAATAAAAATCTCCTGGATCACCTGTTGAGAGAAAAAGAATAGAAAACAAGCAAAAAAAAACAAAACAAAGCAACATACTAAACACAACACCATTGCATTAATCTAGCTAAGTGTAAACAGCAGTAAATACTAAATATTGAATATTGTTGTGCAGTACGCAGGACAGACAGCGCACAATGTGCTTTGAAGTAGCAGCCAAGAAAGGTGTGATTTAAGTCTACGAACAGTGAGCATCCATGTGCACACCAGTGTGGATCAGCGCGCTTGTATTCAAATGGTTTCCCCATGTAATGGTCCACAAGAGGGTGTAGGGAGCCATAGCCCCATCCCCCAGGGCATGAAGCAGGCACGGAGGAGATCCAGGCCCCAGACATCCAGAGGCCCCAGAGTGCGAGAGCTCAAGGAGGACCACTGGAGGGGCATCCGTGCCACCCTCATGGGAAGGGCTGAGGATCCCCAGACGAGGGGTCACCCAGTAGCCACCGAGCAGAAGCTAGAGGGGCCTGCACCGGCCTGCCAGAGTGGACCGAGCCGCAGGCCCAGAGGCCGGAGGCCCGAGGGCCCCCCGCGCCACGGAAGAGGCCTGACCGAGCAACAGGCGCCAGGCCCCGCCAAGTAGCCACCGGGAGTGAGCTGGTACATACCTGAGCGCCCAGCCCCGGACACCAAGAACCACCAATGCACCGACCCCTGTGTTGTGTATTGTAAGAGGACCATCCTGTCCTGTAAAAAAAACTGTGGTGTAGAAGTGAACTTATAGTGAACCTTGCCAAAATGTGAGTGTGCTTAGGCCACAGTGACTTGAGTGAGATGGTTGGACAGGGGCAGATACGACTGGTAAAAGCCAGAGTAGAAATTATTGATCAGTTCCCTCCTCCTACTCCTGCTACTCATCAAATTATATGTCACCACTGATATACTGACCTGTTTTCACCTCTTGTAAATAAAATAGTTTATGCATACCATGAATGGGCTTCCTCTTTTGTTTCAAGCTACTTGTAAAATAATATAGAGAATATAAGAAGCTGCAAAATGGTGCCTAACTCAAAATGAGATGAACCAAACAAAAAACAGCTAAATTTAAAATATCTGACGTTTAAATAATAAATAAATAAAAAATATATCTTATTTGTATAGCACCTTTCTAGACAGAATCACAAAGTGCTGCACTTAAGATAACAAATAATCAAAGGGTAAACCAGACAATATAAAACAGGCAGAAATTTAACCAAAAACAGTTTTAAAAAGGTGAGTTTTGAGTTGTTTTTTAAAAACAACTACCGAGTCCATGGTTCTTAATGTATGAAGGAGAGTTCCACAGTCTCGGGGCCACAGTGGCAAAAGCTCTGTCACCCTTTGTTCTCATCTTAGTCTGTTTTATAGCAAGTAAGCCCTGATCAGATGACCTCAGGGACCTGCTAGGGACATAGGGCTGTAGCAGATCGGCGATGTAGGGTGGTGCCAGTCTAAGGCTCTAAATGTCAAGACTAGGATCTTAAAATGTACTCTAAAGTCAACAGGAAGCCAGTGTAGCTGAAATAGCAATGGTGTCACATGTGAATACTTGGAGGTTTTGTCAACAGCCTAGCTGCAGTGTTTTGCACAACCTGCAGACGATCCAGAAAACCTTTGCTTAGACACATAAACAAAGAGTTACAATAGAGATTGACAGACCACGTGACTTTCGCGCATTGCATTGTGAGTACGAGTGGCAGCAAAATCAAAACACTGCATCAAGCGCTAGCATTTCCAGCACCAGTAATCATTAATTCTGCGGTTTTAATCCCTACTTGCATTTTATTTGCCCCAAAAACAGTTATGTACAAAATGAGGTCCGTACAAAGACAGACTTGACGAAAATGCAAAAAAAAAAAGTACGAGGAAAAATCAAAGGAGTGAAAGGGTTAAACCCATACGTGCATACAGAGTGGAGTAAGGACGTTAGCGTGCTGCCCAACTTTTATCACGCACATATTCATTATTAGATGGTCCTAAGTGTGAATGCATACACTCACAAAATGTTTAGCAACTTCAGATCCCTGCAACAAGCCCAGGTCCAGTTTACTTTGGTGATTTGGACTATTCCATTTCACAGCTGTTGTTAATTTTCTTTCCTTTATCTCATGTACAGGCCAACGCAATCTATTTGTCTTTTTAGGTTGTAGTATTACACAACATTTTCAGATCTAATAGAAATAAAATAAGTGCTTCGTAATTCATTCAATTTATTGTCTTTATTTATAACTGGCGATATTGTTTCATTCTA